TGCTCATCCCTGACACCCCTGTGCATCCCCCACATTCCATCCCTTCTGGGAGTGTGGCTGTTCCTCCCGGCAATGAGGGTCCCCCCCTCCCATGGGACTCCCTGTTCCAGAGGGTCAGTGCAGATGTGACAGTCACTGAGCCGCCAGTGATGGCCCCGCTACAGTGTAATAGTGTAACACCACGGACCTCATTCACCTCCTGTTTCTTATCAATGACACCTCCTCCGTTCTCCTCCCACTGCTTCTCCTCTTCCCAAAACCCATGTTTCTCATCTAATCCCAAAAAAGTTTCCCAAAACCCACCACAGGGCAGAAAGATATTTTTAATCAGCAGTCCAGCGCCCAGGGCTTTGGCAGGCCTGCTGCTTTCCAGGCAGCAGAGCCCTTTCTTCCCACACCTAAGAGAGAAAAACTACTTAGAAAGAAACTTCACTTTATGTTTTCCTCATGTGATATCACCCTGACCACAGCTGGCTTTTAAAATCCATTAACTCTGTAGGAAAAGACCCTCCAGGCAGCTTTTTAATGCCACAAATCTGAGAGGGCATTATCCTGAAGGCACTTACGGGGAGGCCTTTGGTCCCAGGGCAGCACAGCCCAATGCTGTGACCCCGATGACCAGCGCTTCATGGAGATGTGGTTTCTGGCAGAGTAAAACTTCCTTCCCATCCAAGCTTGTCCTGCTCCAGGAACAGGTTTGGGTAACACCTGCAAGGTGGTCATGCCCCAGCACAGATGGGCTTCTTGTTGGGGCTTGGATGCAGCCGATGATATAGGGAGCAACTGGAGGGGGTAAAAGTACATCTGAAATTCCCTGCTCAGCCCTGACTCAACACAGACCCAGCTCTGCCCGGACAAAGATAATTAAACAGCTGTAATTGCTCTGCTTTGGCACCTTCTGGGACACCTTGAAGGATGTCCATGCCCCAGCCAGAACCATCCTTTCACTAACACCCCACCAAAAATCAGCCTTTCATTAACACCCCTCCAAAAATCAGCCTTTTTATTAACACCTCTCCAAAACCCATCCTTTCATCCAAGGCAAAGCTGGTTGTTATTCCCTCGGTCACAGCCTCACTTGAGCACTGGGCACGTGGGACCGCAAAACCAGCCTGGGGCAGTTTGTAGCTGCTCCTCATTGTTTCGCATTCCCAGGGTATCTAAATTAGGGTCCACTGACCTGGAGCAGACAACTCACCTGTCAGCATCATGTGCAGCAGCTGTTGGCACAGGGAGAGAGCCTGGAGCTGCCAGGGGGATCTTGCTCCCCCAAAACACTGCATGGACCACCCCGACCTCCCTCAGGCTCTGTCTCCGGTGCAGTGCTCGTTCATCAGCACTTCTGGATTCTCCCAGTGCATCAACCTCCTTAGCTGGCATCTCCCACCGGACTGGGGAAAGTCTTCCCACCAAGCAGCCAGAGCCAGTGCCCGCGGGGCACGAGCAGGAGGAGGAGGAGGAGGAGGAGGCCCGGCGGCGCCGAAACGGGGAGAAAGAGCGCGGAAATGGGGTTGGCAGCAGCAAAAGGAGCAGGCTCACCCCAGATGGGACTCGAACCCACAATCCCTGGCTTAGGAGGCCAGTGCCTTATCCATTAGGCCACTGGGGCTGCGCAGGGCGCGCGCCCCGGCTCGCGGGAACGGCCCCGACCGCGCGCCCGCCCCGGGACCACCCGCGGGACCTGCGGGATGGGGGGGACACCGGGGCCACCCCGGGGCCGGGACGGGGCCGCACCGGGACCGAGGCTGGGTTTGCCTTTCCCCTTCACCCCGCGGAGGGGAAGAAACGGCAGGGGAAAAGCGGGAAAAGATAATTTAAAAGTAAGGGGAAGGGGGGGGGAAAAGGACCGACCACGAAGGGACTCGAACCCTCAATCTTCTGATCCGAAGTCAGACGCCTTATCCATTAGGCCACGCGGTCGCTGCGCTGCAGCCCCCCAGTGATGCTGCCAACGCCCGGCATCGCCCCCCGCCCCTCCCGGGTACCCCCGGAGCTCTCGGGCAGCAGCCACGCTGGGGACACGGAGGGCTGTGGGGGACACGGGGGTCCATAGGGGACACGGGGGGCCGTGGGGGACACGAGGGGATGGCAAGGGACACGAGGGGATGGCAGGGGACACGAGGGGATGGCAGGGGACACGAGGGGATGGCAGGGGACATGGCTGGGGAAGGACCATCCACTGCCACAGGGAAATCTGCTTCCAGGTGGGAATCAAGTGTGGGACTTGCAGGCAGCAATTTCTGTGCTTGGACCGGTCATAGAATCTCAGAATCATGCAATATCCTGGCTTGGAAGGGACCCACGACGATCATCAAGTCCTTGTGCCCCTTATGTCTGATTCAAACCCCGTCTCAGAGCCCACACACTTCCCACCTTCTACCTCTGACACAGAGGCCACAGTAATAAGGTGCCACCCATGACTTCCTGGCAGGACAGGACTTTTCAAGCACACAAAGATTGGAGTCACTCTCCCACAAAGAAACCATCGCTTCGAGTACCTGGAGACATTGCTGGAATGACAGCGGAAAAAGAAGGCAGAGATGGAGAGCAGGGTGGCTGAGGGAAAGACAGAAAAAACCACCAAAATCTCTGGGACTTTCATCTTAACAGTGAGGACTTGGAGAAGAGCTTAAGGAGCACAGGAGATCAGCAAGGAGGCAGAACTGGAAAATCCATGAGTGCATGAAAGGCTCAGTGCTTTGGGAAATAAGGACACGGTGTGGGGTGCTGTGGAGCAGGACCAGGATCAAAGGAGAGCAGCCTCTCCTTCTCCTCCCCAACACCCCTCATGTCATGCAAGCACTAATTCTTCTTCCACTTCAGTGGACTCTCAGCAGACTCTCAGCCCTATAAATGAGACAAAATTTGCTTCTGAGTAGCTCTGGCTCCCTGCCTTTTCTTTGTGGGAATGGGCCCTTTCTTCTCCTCTCCCTCAAATTGTTGGATTTTTTTTTTTAATGACCTGATTTTTCCTTTACCACAACCAAAGGCTGCTCCCAAGAGCCAGCTGAGTGCAGCAAACCATTAGCAAATCCTTCCTTCCAAAACATAAATTGTCTAGTTTCTATTTACAAAAATCCATCCATCATTAATAAATATCAAATCAACTTCCACATAATAAATGACGTGTTCTGGACCCGTTCATAAGACACACGGTACCATTCGCCTCCTTATTGGGGAGCAGGAGACAATGCAGCGAGTTTTGATAGCCATCCTCACCTTTTCTCTTGGGACAGGTAAGTGCAAGAGGGATGGAAAAGCTTTGAGGAATTCTATGCTCCTCTAGGGACTTTTTTTGAAGAATGGATTTTTGTGTGTTAATGATGTTTCTCACATCCACAGCTCCACACCCTTTCTCTTTTAGTGCCTCTCTCTCTCTCTCACACAGTTTGAGATCCTGTCTGAGATTTTTGTGTTTCAAGTGGAATTCTCTTTCTAGCAGGGACTGCTCCAAAGTACCTCTGCACCTACTATGACATTGTTGACTACCTGAACATCTCCTCTCACGACAAGCTGCACACCTACATACTGCCCAAGGCAAACCTGAAGGAGCCTGTGGAAGTGAAGTTGGATTTCATGCTGATGGCTATTCTCTCTGTGGTAAGGACCCAAAACTACTCTTTATAACAGAAAACTGGGTGATTGCTAGACTGGGGATTGAGTCTTCTGCCAGCAAGGCCATGGGGACAAGAATCAGCCCCTTCCTCTTCTTCAGCTTTCTGCTGTTTGAAAGCGCTTTTGGAAGATGTGGAGTATTTTCTCCCACTCCTTCCAGGAAAAAGTTGAGAGGCACATGCAGACAAGCAGCCTACTTTGTAGCAGGCTCCAAAAACACCCTGTGGCATTCCTGAATGGAGCAAGGCACTTGCAGGGCACCACCATGGAAATGTTAGCAATAATGTATTATTTTTTCCAAACCTTTGGACTGTTTGCTGCTACTCTTCAGCTGTAGGGCCAAAACCCCTGAGCTCTCCTCCCAAGCCGAGTTCCTGCAATCTGTGCTGTCCACTGCAGGAGCCACAGGGAAAGGCTTCTGGATACACCTGAGAAAATCAGCCAAATATCCTCCCTTTGTTTCTCCAGGTGGAAAAGCTCCAAACAGTCAGTTTTTACTTCGTCTTGAACCTGGTAGGTGCCTCAAGAGCGTTTCTCTCTGGTGATGCCCTTCATGACACCTGGTGCTGAGCCCAGCACCAATTTTTCTCCTGCGACTTCTTCCCCCAGGAGTGGAAAAACCCTTTGGCAACCTGGAACCCGCAGGATTTCTGTAACATTTCCCAAATCATTCTTCCCCTGGACACGTATTGGTCTCCCCCCATCTTCATCTTAGAGCGGTAGGTTCCCTTTTCATTTTTATCCACTGGCTTATTGTAGCAAATGGGATAAACTCATATGGCTAAAAGTTGTTCCCATGAGCTCTCTGTAACCAAGAACCTCGTAGTTTAGATTAATGGTGACCACAGTTTATACGAAGCACTTTGTGGCTCTGTAATGTTGTGAGATCTCCAGAAATGCCCTTTCTGGGCTGTAGCTAAAGCTGAGGCAGCAGCAGAGACTGGGAGTGCTGTGGAATAAAGTGACCCTTAGCAGTGTGTGGACAGATACAGGACAGAGCTCGAGGGTCTGACAGAGGGATGGGCACCACAAACAGTTCTCCAGAGGAGGGAAAGAGGGAGAGGCAACGAGCCCCTGCCTCAGATGAGACTGGAAGCAGAGGGTAGAGAGGCAGGAGTTGCTTAGGAGGTGCAGAATTACAACAAACCTTAGTCCCAAGGCACTCACCAGCCCTTTTTCCAGCCCTGGCTTCCTCTCCTCACTGCTGCATCCCACGGCTGGGTGATGGCACGGAATCCCCCAAGAGGGTGTTCACAGCCAGGGTTGGGGGGGACTGAGGCACAGGCAGCATCTCAGAGCTCAGTTGCTCTCCCCTTCTGTTTCCTGCAGAGTGGACGGACAAAGCTCAGACATGAATTACATGGTCCTCATGCACAATGGCAGCTTCAACTCCACCCGGCCCCTCCAGGTCACCCTGACGTGCAGTTTGATAATCCTCAAGTTCCCCTTTGACACCCAGACGTGCAACTTGAGTATAGCTTCATTTCTCTACCCAGGTACAGCTGCAGGCTCAGTTTTACCACCTCTGGGGTGAATTTGCAGAGGGAGGAATAGATGAGATGGACCCTGGTAACTCCTGGGTTCCTGAGCAGCACCAGACTCCCACATTGCAGGGCTGAGGTCATGCAAGACCAGGGAAAACGAGTTAAAGCACTGCCATTCTGTTCTGGCACGTTTCCAAGCAACATCTCTGGAAGAATCTGGATGTTCTGTGGCAAGTCCCTCCCAGGATTGATCTCTACAAACAAAAAGACCAGGAGGCTTCCTGCAAAACCACTACTTGTTCACGTACAGTTTTGCAGGACTGATCTTTAAACCCACCTGAAGGCCATGGAAATGAGCGAAAATTAATCATAGAATCAGTAAGGTTGGAAAAGAGCTCTAGGCTCATTGAATCCAACTATTAAAAGGACAGTTTCACTAATCCAAACTGCAGTCAGAGTTATCCCAACAGGAAGGGTTGAAATATAAGCAGAGGTGACATAAAACCCACCAGGTCCCATCCAAAAAAAAGACAACAGTCCCATCCAAAAAAAAAGACAACAGTCCTGATCTACCAGGGATTTCCCCCCAGATTCACATTCCCTGCCAAGACTCTTTCCCAGAGTCTTTTTTAGTTTCTCCCTGATGGGCTAAGAAACCCCAGCAGTGTAAGAAATGTTGGCCTTCCCCATCTGCACCCACCCTCTGTCGGGTGGGACAGGGAAAGGAATAACTGACCTCTAGTAAATATCTAAATTCTGCAACTTCTCTCCTCCTCTGCTCCTGCCCAAGCAGTAAGAGACCTTGTCATGAAGACAAGAAGGACAGCATCTGAGAGCATGAAAGACAGCCAGAGTTTCTTCCTAACTGATGGAGAATGGAAGTTCACCAATCTGAGCATCATTGAACGCACGGAAACGATGGATGACGAAGGATTTTCTGTGATCACCTACATGGTATGGCAGCATTTTTGTATTATATTGCACTGATTTCCCACAAAAAAAGAAAAAGACAATTTTTTACATTAGGGAACCAGCATTTGCCAACACAGTAAGTTACCTCCTGCTCACCTAAATTTTGCCCATCTTCTTCAACAGATTTCCATGGAGAGGCGACCCACTCTGTACATTCTGAACCTGATCCTCCCAACGTGTGCCCTGTACCTGCTGGACATGGCTGTGTTGTTTGGACCCAGCTCTCTTGAGGAGAAAATCAACTTCCAGATCGCCATCATCCTTGGCAGCTCCATGCTGGCTGTGATCCTCAACAACAGCCTCCCAACTTCCTCCAACAAACCACCTGTAATAGGTACCCATCTTTAACAAACCAAAACTGGTCTTCATACAGGTACTTGCCCTAAGGAATGGGTTTATAGACACATTTATGAACACTGCAGTCATAGACAGCTAAGAGTTTATCAACTTCTGGAGTCAGACTTTCCCCATTCCTCATGGGGCAACTGAAGCAGACAGGATTATGTAAGAAAATGCCAATCACCCAGGGCTTTCTCTTGTTTTCCTGCTGTTCTGCAGTGCTGTTCTTCCTGGGCACCTTCCTGCTCATGATCATGGCTGTGTTAGACACCTTCTTCCTGCTGTACCAGCACCGCAAATCCCGGCCCTTGGACAAGGTTCTCAGAAGATTCCAGCGACGTAAAACAACCCAGAACCTCTTTAACAAAGCAGGTTTGGTGCATTTCACTGCAGGTTTGTTTGAGCCAGGGGGGGTTTGCTCAGGGCAAGCAGTGCCCCAGCTGTGGTGGCCCCACCAGCCCCGCCTGTGCTGACACTGCTCTTTGCTCCCTGCAGACGTGGGTGCTGAGCTGGCCAAGACACCCCTGCGCAACCAGCCCGTGACACACCTGGCCAAGGAAGGTCTCCAGCATCTGAGCCCTCCCAAGAAGGCCGAGGGAGGAGGGCAACCTGCCAAGGGCCACTGGCGACCACAGGAGCAGAATTCGTTTATGCCAGTTCTGGAGAAGGTCCTTCTCTACAGCCACTTCTTCCTGTCCCTGTTTTTTTTTACTCTTGTTTTTGTAAAATGGAGCAGCTAAAGGCCAGCTCTGCGCAGTGCTAGTTCAGTTGTTCCCCACTGTATCACTTCTGACCCCTCTGCTGTAGTTTGTTCTTGCTTGAATCACAAATGCAGTTGTTTCGGATGCCTAAATAAAATCAAAACCCAAACCCACAGGGCCCGAGGTCTGCATTTGTAGTGCTTTGTACTCTGGTTCAGTAGAACTACAGATGTTTCTACTGTGGGCTAGCAAGGTATTTGAATAGAACAACTGTGAAATCTGGGGTAACACCTTCACTCTACCCAACTATAACTCTTACCTCTAACATGACCAACAGGAAAAGCAGTTGATTCCCTGCTCTTTGAGATACTTCCACTTTGGGGAAAGGTGTTCAAGAATTCCACCTCAGATAATTAAATAAAACAATGTAAGTCTGAAGTGTTTGTACTATTGTTTCTGTGAGTTCCAGTGAGATCAGCAGCATTCAGAAAACCACAACAGAGAGAATAATAAGATCACCAGGATTAAATGTTTTTAAAAAGTAACTAAAAGATAACTTTTTTTTATATGCATCTGAGCATATCAACACTCCTTCAACTCCTGGTGCAAATGGCTTCTCCCAAACAATCACAACCAGCCTAGAAAACAGTCCTATAGGTCTGTTGTAGAACTCCTGAGACACTCCAGATAAACACGGATCACTGCTAAACACACTCCAGCACCCCAAAAAGCTTCTCCCATTCAACTTCTAAGCAACTGTCCACTTGCAAGGCCAGGAGAACTCCATTCCCTGTGGTTACACAGAGGGACAGAGGATTTATTTGCCTTACAGAGGATGTGACACGACTCAGTTTGATGAGCAGGTCAGTGTGGGATCTTGGTCCTTGCTACAAAAGCAAGCTCACAAGTAGAAAAGAAAAAATTGAGGAAAAGTGGGATATTTGCAAGTTGGTGTATTGCTCCACATTTCTCAAAACTCATGTCTAAGATCTAAGCCACAGACAGGAGGGAAAGCTCTTTATTTATAAGATCATCGAGTCTGACAGTGTTGAACAGCTCCTAGACTGGTTTACAGATCAGCAATGGGCTTGTGGGGCCAGTATGGGTATTTCTCCTTGTCCAGTTTGGTTTCAGGGAAGGCTTCATGCAAGTCTTCAAACGTCATCTGCTCAAAGGGAATCATGTTCTTGAGCTTCTGGAGCTGCAGCGGAAGCAGAGACAGGCACGTTACAAGTCACTGCTCAGCAAGAAGGAGCAGAGAACACACAGGTGAGAACAAGGGGTGTGCCAGGGTGGGTTACAGACAATATTCCCTGAGGAAGGTCCAGCCTCACCTGTTGCTCATACTGGGCAATCCGATCTTTGGAAGCCTGAACATACTCAGCAGTGCTCTTGGCCTGAGGAAAGCAGAGGATGTGGTGAATGGGGTTGTGATGATGACAGTGACCCAGGGTGAACCTGCACCCTCGTGCTTTAAGCTGGCATTAAAATCCACCATCATTACACTGGGTAAGTGAGAGAATCTCAATCAAATCCCAAACAGACAAACCCTTCCTTGTGCAGAGATGCCCTTGCTAAGCTGAAAGCCGGAGACAGAGACCAGTGAAGGGCAGAGCTGTGCTCTGGCTCAGGCTGTGCCCGTGAAGGCACATCCAGGACATCTCTTCCCACCTCACAGAAGGCAGAGTAAACCCCAGCACTAGGGAGTGGTTCGAACACTTACAGCTTCCTTCTCCTGGGCATCGATCTTGGCACTTTGGGTATCCACTGGCTCAGGAATCTTCAGTGCACTGAACTGTAAATTGAAAGAGAAGCTTTTATAAGGTTTGTTTGATTGAAATAATCATTCACAACGAGAATATGCAGCATTCCCTCCTTTCTTCCCAGGATTTGCCCACAACCATGTAGGTTAATGAGCTAAAGCTGATCAGTGCAGCTGTCCCATGACCCTCCCAGGCAGCACTGCTCATCCAGGAGCTTCCAGCCTTCTCCTCTGTCCTGCCCACCACCCTCATGACAACCAACACCACACATTCATCACAGCACTGTAAGGGAGTAGGAAGGTCTAACACCAAAGATTTTTCCTATCACAGACTTATTTCCCCCAGGACAAAGCTTTCAGACCCATCCGAGGTCAGCGGGTGCTCGCAGTTTTGGAAGGCAAATTTTCACAGTGACAAAACCAAATTCTTCTGCCAATCTTGGTGTTTTCCTCTCAACACCACCCAGTGAAACCTCTAGAGAGGTTGCTCCAGCTGGCAAAGAAACTGACCTTCTTCTGAAACTCATCCACCATGCCAGCCTTGGCAACATTAGCCTTGTAGAAAGCCCAGTCGATGGCCGGAGGCTTCTCTGGCAGCGCTGCCAACCTGAAGGGATGGAGGACAACAGACATGAGCACTGACCTGAGAGCCAGCAGAGCCTGCTGAGTTTAGTTTAAATATTTTTTGGTTTGCCATCAACAAGCCATTTCTGCAAATCCCTCTGCCCTTGGAACAGGCTTCTTTGGACAGACAGTTCAGCCCGCTGCTCTGCCCTGCTTCACTCAGCACCTATGAAGCTCCCTGAAGGACGGAGGGGGCAGCTTCACAACACTGAGCCTCAGGCAATCAGCAACATCAACTGCAGTAGTCACCTGTATCAGGCAGTGGACGCTGAAGGATTTGAAAACTAAGGATTTGAGAACTGCGTGTGAATCCGTACAGCACTTAACAGAATAACAAAGCTCCTAAAACGTCCTGAACACACCAAAGCAAAGCACTCTTGTGAACTCACAGCCACGGGTTTACCCTGGGGAAGATTAACTAAAGATGATTTGCCAAAAAAAGCCACCAGCTGCCTCAAGGTGACCTGCTTTAATACCTGCCGGGACGTTCCTGCGGGACCACAGGCAGCGTCAGTCCCAGCACTCACACCGGGGGCTGTGCCGGGGGCTGAGCGGCCCGGGAGGAGCGGGGCGGGCTCTCCCGGGGCCGGGCGGGCACTCACCGGGCTGTCAGGGCATCGCTGCGGGTCTTGAGCGCGTTGTACATGGGCCGCTGGTTCGGGGGGACCCGCTCGGCGAAGGCCGCCCAGTCCACGGCCTTGAGAGCAGCTCTGCGACCCGCCATGGTGAGACCTGGGCAGGGACACGGCGGTGGGAACGGGGACGGGGGGGGACACCGGGGATGGGGCACTGGGGGTGGGGACGCGAGAGGGCTGGGGCTCGAAAGGACCGGGACACTAGGGATGAGGACATGGTGGGGATGAGGGGGATTGGGACACGGGGTGAACGGGGACACTGAGGATGGGGACATGGTGGGATCAGGACATGGAGTGAATGAGGACACTGGGGATGGCGATGGGGACACGGGGGGATCAGGACGGGGGGGTCGGGGTACTGGGGTTAATGGCGACATGGAGGGGATTAGAACACCATGGAATGTGGACACGGCGGGATGGGGTCATGGAGGGGATAGGGGACACGGAGGTACGGGGACATGGTGGGGATGAGGGCACGGGGGAATGGGGGCACGGGGGACACTGGGGCCGCTCTTCAGCCCCGCCGCGACCTCACACCGCTCCCCACCCCCCCCACCTTCACCGGCCCCCCAAGCCGCAGGCCCTGCCCGTTCCCGTTCCCCTCGCAGTCCCGGCGGTGCCGGGTCCCCTTTCCCCCGTTCCCGTTCCCCTCGCAGTCCCGGCGGTGCCGGGTCCCCTTTCCCCCGTTCCCGTTCCCCTCGCAGTCCCGGCAGTGCCGGGTCCCCTTTCCCCCGTTCCCGTTCCCCTCGCAGTCCCGGCGGTGCCGGGTCCCCTTTCCCCCCCTCGCAGTCCCGGCGGTGCCGGGTCCCCCGTTCCCGTTTCCCCACCACTACCGGGTCCCCTCTCTCACCTTCACCGTCCGACCCCGCCGCGCGCCGCCGGAAGCCCCGCCCCCGCCCCACCCCCGCCGCCCAATCAGCGCGCGGCCCCGCCGGAATCCCTCCGCGCCCCCCGGAAGTGTCGCGGGGCGGACGCGGCGATGGCGCGGGGCGGGCGCTGAGGCTCCGCCATGGCCGAGGGGCCGCCGAGGGGCCGCACGCCCAGCCCGGGCCCGGGGGGGGCCCCGGGGCCGCCCAGCCCGCGCTCGGCCGGGCCCGCAGGGGCGCCGAACCCGACCGCCGCCAACGCCACCGCCGCCGCCTCCAAGTGGGTGCGGCTGAACGTGGGCGGCACGTACTTCGTGAGCACCCGGCAGACGCTGTGCCGGGAGCCCAAGTCCTTCCTGTGCCGCCTCTGCTGCCAGGACGGGCCCGAGCTCGGCTCCGACAAGGTGAGGCCGCGGCAGTGACACCGGGACAGCCCCTCCTCGACCCGCCACGGCCGCCAGTGTCACCGTCCCACGGGCGAGGTGACACCCCTGGCAGCCGGTGTCACCCGGGGCAGCGCCCGCGGGGCCGTGCGGGTCTGGACCCCGCCGCGTGGATGGGCCCATCTGCACAGCAGACCCCCGGTCCCACACGTCGCTCTGTCACACACCATCTGCTTGTCCCTCGCATTCCATGGTCATGAAGCTTGTGGCATCCCCAAAATCCTCGTCACCCTCGTGCCTGTGACACGCAGGTGGTTCCGATCCCTCCACTCCCACGGTGACTCCAGCCAGCAGCTTCCCACAGTGTTGCTGCTTCCCACTGTAACAGTGGGTACAGAAACAGGGATTTTATGATTTCTCACCCTGAGCATGTCTGTGGTTCTTTTTCGAATGTCTTTCACTTTGCTCCCATAAAAGATCACGGTGCACGTTCCTGGATAGTTTTGAGGTCGCTGCAGTTTGTCAGAAGGATTTTGCAAACTGTGATTCCTGTAATTTGCAGGTTTTCCCCAGGATCTGCTACACGAAATGTTGTAAATATGTCGTGGGTGGGTCAGACTGAATTAGTTAGGTCTGTGTCTGCTCCATTCAGAGATTAATCAAAAGATATCTCCTGATAGTTTGATCACAATCAGCAGCATCATTGAGGAGAGGAGCCCAGCATTTCAGTGTGGGTTTGCACAGTTGTTGTTGCTTTAGAGCAGATTGG